TGGGTCAAAAAAAAAAAAAAAAAAAAAAAAAAAAGACGAACAAAAAAGTGACGGATTTTGTGGGTGTGACTGAATATTGCATCAAGTCGTTTTTCATGCTTGGTTACAAAAATAAATATCCTACTAAAATTTGATGAATTCGGAGCTCCATTTATAGATTAAAATAGTAGAAATGGAAGATAACGACAAAAACTCAAATCCTTAAAAAAAATCAGTGTGGTGGAGGTGGTTGCCTCCGAATTCCCTCCGAGAAATGGCGGCATCTTACCCACCATAAATAATCAACGATCACATCCAATGGTATATCTGTAGCCGTTTTTTAAGAAAAAAGTTTAGAAGCTGGTATGAAAAGGGCATTCAGAAGAAGGGGAAGAAGAAGACTAAGACGAATTTCAGGAAGTCAGCATAAAAAGTTCTAACCACAAAACATTCTCCCTATTCTCTGGATTCCGTTTGATTTGGGTACTTCTTAGGAATTTCTTTACCTTCGTCTAGTTTTTCTTTCTTTTCTTTTCTTTTTTTGCAGTTTTTCCCTCTTTTGTTATCTGCTTTGGCTGCGTCGAAGTATGAACTTCATTATCTCAAAATTTTATCTATGCTGCTATAATCGAGTCGTCAAACGTTTCGTCTGGTATGTTTTTGAAACGCGAGAAAATTGATTCTGCTTATGGACTTTTCTTTTCTTTTTTTCTTTTTTAGAATTTTAATCGTTGATGTGAAGATAAGATGAGTTTGGGACTACTTGATGTTGTTTAGATATGATTACCATAGGAGGTAGTAGGTGAAGAAACATCTTAAGTAAGTTGGAGTTGGGATTAGCTGTCCTTATTTGCTCTCTTCTGATGATTTCCGTGCTATTGCGGATAAGTACTCCATCTGTTTGATTGCACGTTTCATTTATGTGAATGATATTCTGGGTTTCCGAGATAGAAATTCTGATTCTGATTCTCTCCCTCTCTCTGGGTTAGGATCTTTCTAATTTTGAATTAGGTGTGATGGTGATGTCAGGGTTGAAAGTGCGTTTGATTTGGGTCTTTGTTTTTTCTGATAAGAAAAAGAAAAAAAAAAAAACTATAACCAAAAGGCTGTTAGCAAAACTGATCGAGGAATGGATTATGATATTCTCAACTTCATATTTTCTTGACTTATTGATTGATGATTTATGGGATCTTTTAGAAGAAAAGTGTTTTGCAACGTTATTAAAAGTTGTAGAAGGTATGTGAACTTTGAAGCTTTATTCGAGGAAGTTGTTAACTTGTAGTAGTTTCGTATCATGGTCTCTACTCTACAATTAACGAATATGAGGCTGTAATTTGTAAATTACAAGTTCAAGACTGGTTTCTTCGTGCTTTCATTTGCATTCCACTTGCTTGTGGATTCTTCATAAACTGCTTGGATACTAGACCTGCCTCTGTCCAAGCTATTCCTTATTCTTCACTTGTTATATCAGACAACAGGTGAGGGAAGCAAAAATCAAACCTACCAAGTGGCAGTGGGCTGATAGCTAATACTAAGGATACTTGGAAGGTAAAATCCGATTCATCGACTGGCGCAACTTTGATTGTATTGCTGAAGGGAACGAAAAATCTTACCTCAAATGTTGATCACAAAAGCTCAAAGTTAAATATCTGAGATTTGTTCCTGAAATGGTTTCTTCTCCTGTACTAAAGGTTAATGCTGATCTCACATGCACCAAAGCCATAGTTGAAAAGTTGGTCGAAGACTTGTCGAGCCATACACTTGAAACTCTAAGGACTACTACTGCTGAACTGCGGTTGCTTACCAAGCTTAATGCGAAAAATCGGAGGGTGATTTCGGACTGTGGGGCAATTAACCTTTTAGTCAATTTGCTAAACTCTACTGACACACAAGTTCAAGAGAATGCTGTTACAGCACTTGTGAACTTGTCAATTGACAATAATTGCAAAATTATCATTGCTCAGGCCAATGCAATTGAAGCTTTGATTCACGTCCTTCAAACTGGTAGCCCAGAGGCAAAGGAAAACTCAGCTGCTACTCTTGGTAGTCTTTCAGTATGCGAGGATAACCAGGTTAACATTGGGAGGTCTGGGGCAATAGGGCCTCTGGTTGACTTGTTGAGGGATGGCACACCTCGAGGAAAGAAAGATGCTGCCACTGCTCTGTTTAATTTGTCATTGCTTTCCGAAAACAAGGCTAAAATTGTGGAGGCTGGATCTATCAAGCATCTTGTGAAGTTGATGGATCCAGCTGCTGGAATGGTTGAGAAGGCAGTGGTTGTTCTGGCAAATGTTGCATCAATAGATGAAGGGAGGATTGAAATTGTACGCGAGGGTGGTATTCCTTTGTTGGTTGACGCTGTTGAGTTAGGTTCTGCCAGGGCAAAAGAGTATGCAGCTGCTGCATTATTGTGGCTTTGTGCAATCTCCAGTAGGTTCTGCATCATGGCAATCCGAGAGGGAGCTGTCCCACCATTAGTGGCTTTGTCACAATCAGGCACAGCAAGGGCCAAGGAAAAGGTACATGACTATACTGAATTGTGTTTTCCTCGATTCCAAATTCACAATAGATTTTAAAAAGGAAAATTTGGCCACTTGCAGGCTCGGGCACTACTTGGCTGCTTCAGTAGAAATAAGCCCGTATGACAATGCTAAAAGTCTGGAAGTGACTAATTCTTAAACAAGGTTTGGCTGTTTCCATTGCGTTCATGGTGTACGATAGGATTGCTGTTAGGATAGAAATGGAAACATTAATGTGTATTAAGAGAATATTAGTATTTAGCTAAGGAGTTGTTAGTGGAGATTGGTTATAAATAGAATGAGTCATGAAGGGGCAATTGTTTAGTGTTTAGGCTTAAGTGATACCTCGAGACAACAGAGGTTAATTACTCAGGTTATCTTGCAGTTCTTCTATCTTTTATATTTCAGCATATTCGGGTTTTATCAATGTATTTACGTTCAGATGTTGCGTACATATGGGTTATTTCTCTGTAATTACTGGTGCAAAAAGAAAAGAAAAACGAGGGTATAATAAAGGAAGGATAGTTTTTATTGTTTCATGTTAAAAAATTGGTATTCCAATGTACAAGACGAAGGATTTGTTGTTGTTCTGAGCTTTAGGATTTCTCTGTCTCTCTCTCTTTTTTGTTGGTATTTGCATGTATTCTTTCCCTTGTCCCATCAAAAAGGTTTCATGGGTAACTTATTTTTCTAAAATTTCAAGCACTGAAATGAACACGAGCTGATGCGCTTGTGCATCTCGATCCTTGTCGAACAGATCTTTCAGTGTTGACGATTCATCTTTCTGATGAAGCATCAGACACAAAGTATTATTTTTTATTGCTTTTAGGGAGAAAAAATTCACCTAATTCTGGAAGCCCTTTTCTGTTTGATTCTATGCCACTATATATGGACTTATCAGAGAGCTTCCACTTGAATGGTCTTAGCTTTAATATGTTTCAGTCTGATTCAATGAATTTATTTGTTCATCTCACAGACACACTTACATTTAAGAAACTGCAGGGGAAAGGGAATTTTATTCAAGTGATTGAAAAGTGAAAACATGACAGATTTCTAGGGAGGAAAATTAAATGAAAAATAAAATCAAGGGCATTTAGATTTTCCCTTGGAGTTCAACTTGTCTCTATAGCAAGGACATTCTGACTTGTTTCCATAGGTTCCAGAGGGCACACACTTACATTGTTGGCAGCAGAGTCCACAATACTTAATACACCTGTCCTTCACCCCTGCATTCAAACATCTTGCCCCACATTTTGAATCACAAAAACCTTCCAAAAAAAGAAAAAAAAAAAAGGAAAAACAATAAATCAGTTATTCTCTTGGATGAATGAAGGGTTATATCTTCATTGCTAATAGTATTGATATTAATGGTAAAGCATTTGTCTTACTTGGAACATAGGTTGCAGAGGAATCAGCAATGGCATGTGGAAGGAGGAAGGAGCTCAGAATCAATGAGACAAGAACCAAACTGAGAGAACCAGACTTCATCTTTCTCCTTTTGTTTTAAGGTTAGTGTTCTACTGACATTTCATTACTTTCTATCTGATATTTATAGACTTGGTAAGTGGAGGACTGGAATGAGAGAAAGAGAGGAAGAGGTCCGTAAAGAATTGAAAAGTGGGGCTTGAATCAGTTGGATGACCCATGAGGGAAAGGCATGGAAAAATGTTTTAAGAATGGTTTACAGCTCGAACTAAAGTGTAAAGAAGCATGGTTTAGGTATGCTTGGGGGCATGAGCTTGTCCTTTTTTTTTTTGTATATGTTCCTTAGGAAGGTCACTAGCAGCTTCTTTTTGTGTCCTTGTGCAGTGTATTTTGTGGGGGTAATGGGAATGTGTTTCTTATGTATTGATCTGAACGTGGATTAGTTAGGAGGCTTTCAATCTATCAAATGCCCATTCAACTTATTGAAAATAGAAATCTTTAGTGATCAAATTTGAAATGAAGTAAGCTTTAGGGATGAAAACTACATTTTTTCCTGTTTTACAAATCTGAATTTGAACCCTTTTTCTGTTTGGAAAAGAGCTTGAACTAATTCTATGTTATATTATGCTGTGAACTAAATTTTTTTAAGCTGAACAAACCCATAAGAACTAAGTGGTAATTCTTAGCTACTGAGAAATATATGGAGTAGTTGAAATTGTATATAAAGGCTTGAGCTCTTTCTTCCCCCACTCTGGATTCCACAGTTGAGAAATATAAAATGGGACGTTTTCAATTATTGTACTTACTGTATTTCTTCATTTTAAATGAACCTTTGCGTGTGAGTACATGTAAGATTCTGTACTTCATGTTATGTTATCAATATAAAATTGAGCTGTTTTTGGCGATCTATGAAGGATATAAATACTGCTAGATCACTTCAAACTTCGTGTACTTTTGTACTAATGCTATATTGTAAAGAGAGAACTACTTGATTTTGGTTTAAGAGTAAGTTTGAGATGCCACACTGACTAAGATATTAGCAAGTAAGTTTCACATATCATTAGAACTTAACTTTATTTCTTTGATTTTTCCTGAAACTCCTCCCTGTACCCTAATCTTTCTTCCTTCATCTATCTTAGGGGTATGAGATCAGTAAAGACTAGAACTGACTGAACCGACTTCGGCCAGTCTGTTTATGTCATTTTTTAGTCGTGTTAGTTGGGTCGACCGTAAAAAATTGTGTAGGATTTGTCAACTACTACAACAGCATTAAAGGCTGCTATAGCAACTCCTTTAGGAAGTCCGAACCGATGATCTTCCCAAGGTGATGTAGTTTTTTTTGTTGTCTATATTCTATTCTGTTCTGCTTTTTTTTATCTAGGGGCAAATAGAACTGGACTGGCAAGCTGAACTGAACCGATTAAAGTTCTTAAAGTTTTGGTTCGGTTTGGTTCAAATTTTAAAGTTTTTCAATCTGAATCGGTTTGGTTCTACTTCAACTGACTTAGTTAAAAGCTTAGAGTAGTTAAATCTTTGAAAACGTAAACATGCCCAACATAGCAAGTATTTCTAAAGCATATTTAAGGGATAGAACTTTATTCACTTCAAAATTGGAATCGTTCCTAGTAAGTTTGATCAAGTTTGATAGGGTGATCCTAAAGATAATCTAAGCTCATATTGTAGCATTAATCGACTAAAGAAGCTCACAACTTTGTTCGGACGGGTTATTTGGAATTTCAAAGTAAGGATTATATTGAAGTTGAAGGTTGGATTGGATTCTTTCCTTAGTATGGAAGTTGAAATGCTATCTTATTACATCATATCTTTTGTCTTGTCTTTGTTGCTTTGATTTGCTCATACGAATATCTTCTTCTCAGCCATGGGAAAAGGTCGCAAAAGCATGGCCCAAAGACCACACTCCCATCTTTTTTTTCTCTCTCTCGGAGAATGGGGCTGTTACTTGTAAATTAGGTAAAACATCCTAATATTTATACCAAACTACAAAATTTAAATCAATGCAGATATTATATTCTCGACCAAAAGGTGAGGTTTGAATTTTTGTTTCTACTCCCAATATTGTTGAAATCGTATGATCTTATATTTCATTATAGCTTTATGATTCAAGTAGACCTCCCGAATTTATAGTTTTACCAATCAACAGTTCAATGTGTTTATGAGCGTCGGTCCCTTCAATGTAAATAATCTAAAGCACATTAACCTGACAAGTTCTAGAGCTAGTTTACTTTTGAAATATGGGTTTGAAGTCGTATTCTTTTTTCTTTTTTAATATATATTTTTTATTTAAATGATAGAAAAGAAAAAAATTCAATAGCCTTGTTCAGTGAACCAGTACGATTTTTTTCCAGCTCTCAAGACATGTCGGGCGAAATATGACCCACAATGTATGAAAACTTTATCAAACAAAACAAGAACCCATTAGACCTAAAATCATAATAAAGTAAAAAGAATATGTGAAGTATGTTTATAAAACAAAGTTTCAAAGACCTAAAATCATAATTGAATTTATGGCTCATTAACCCTTCTATTAAATTAAATTCACAATTGTTTTAAAATATTAAATGATAATTATAACAGCAAACCAATTTAAAAAAAAAAAAAAAAACAAAATTAGCCTCTACGCATGTTCAAAATTATTTATAAATTATACATGAACAAATTATAATGGTATTTATGGTAATTCCCAACCACAATTTATTTCATATGCGCCACCAAACATCGTATCCTTCAGATCTCATAGACCATTATATATTAAATACAGAACCAAATAAATAAATAAATAAATAAAAAATAAAGCAGTCTATCACTTCACTCATCCTGTCGGTGGACTACTGCTTTATAATGATTAAAGTTGCGTTATAGTAATTAAAAGAAAAAGATTATAATTACTTGATTTCCACATAATTTAATTTGTTATAATAAATTAACAGTAAATGATGGGAAGAAGAAATGAAAGAGAATTAATTACAGAACACAAAAGGATCCATCCAATCAAAATGTAATAATAAAAGATTTCCCCACTCCAAACCCCATCTCCATCCAAAATGTTCATCATCATCAAATCAAACGCCCCAGGGCTCATCAATTTCGTAAATCAAATTTCATCAATCAATTCAATGAAGAATATAATATAAAGCACCTCTTCCGATAGAGTACGGTGGCGGAAATTTAAACAAAAAAAGGATTAAATATAATAAATGAAGCACGATCACAAACTCTCTCTAGAACATGAAGCTGAAGACGGCGGCGGAAAATCCCAGAGCCAGGCTTCCGACCACCTTCTGCATGTTCCTCCTCAACGCTTCAGCTCCACTCTGCAACATAAAAACAGATCCAGGGCGTTATAAATATTAACTATTTAATCATATTAATTTAAAGATATAGAAACTGCATCTTCAAAAGCTGCAGACAATTTATTTTTTAAACGTGTTTGATCTGATAAAAAAAACTGGACGGACATTTAATACTCTCGAGTACTGTGTGATCTGACATTCTGACATTTTGATTCCTTTTCTTGCCGTGTTTTTTTAATCTTGGGTTAATCTTGTACTCAACTAAGGTAATTGTCTCAACTCAAGGCCTCTTACGCGCTAGATCCACGCGTGTCGGTGGCGCGTTGCGTTAGGCTTAGTCACTCTGCTATCGAGTACAGCAAATGCGGTCATTGATACAGCCCTAAGAGCGCTAACATGTGCCATTTTTATCCAAATTATAGAGAGATCTTGGCTGTGGATATTGATAATGGCGGTTTTTTTTAGGGATAATGCAGATCTTGAGCAAATTGACAATGCGCAGTAAATGCAGAGGTTTGGGTGAAAATTTAATTACCTTGTCGTCCAGTGAAGGGGCGGGGGAAGGACCTTCCTCACTTCCTCCTGGGGCTTCAGAGGGTGGAGCAGGTGGACCAAGCAACGCCGGAGAAGGAGCTGGTGCTTTGTGCTTCTTCGATTTCTTCTTGCTCGGCGCCGGCGACGGGACCTCAGCGGGAGGTGATGCGACCGGAGCAGGAGGAGCACTTTCGGGAGCGGGAGGAGATTCGATCGGAGTTGGTACGGGAGGAGAGCTCTCCGGAACTGGAACCGGTGGAGAACTGGCCGGAACTGGTACCGGCGGAGAGCTTGCTGGAACGGTAGCTGGCGGGGAGCTAGCCGGAACGGAAGCAGCTGGTGGAGAGCTAGCCGGAACGGAAGCAGCTGGTGGAGAGCTAGCCGGAACGGAAGCAGTTGGAGGAGTACTGGCCGGCGGAGAGGCCACTGGAGCGACTGCTGGTGGCGTAGATACCGGTGCTGGAGTGACCGGCTTTTGGGGAGCGGCAGCGGGAGATGAATTTGTCGGTGGCACAACAGGAGATGCTGCTGGAGGTGGATACTTCGCTGCTACAGGCGCGGGAGTCGCCGGAGTAGTAGTCGGAGCTGCAGCAGGAGACTGGCCACCGACACCGGCAACGACAGCGCAGATCAGAACGAGTGCGATCACAGATTGTCTCCCCATGTCTACTGAGTGAGCGTGTGTCGATGATGAAGTGGATGCATCGGAGGCCCAAGGTGTAATAGTGTATATATAGACCAGTAAATAACACCTCAAAGGACTCTTAAAAAAAAAAAAAAAAAAAAAAAGAAAAGACAACAGAACTGTAAGACAAATGGGGCCCACTATTAATGGGCCTGTTCTAGCCGTTGGGTGCGAAGAGAAGGGCCCACGTAGGGAATCGAACAAAAGAACGGTATAATACGGGTGGAAAGCCCATTAGTGTTTCTTTTCCTCTCTTTTTTAGGTTTAAACAAATGAGAATGAGTAAATAAAATTATAAAAAATTAAATTAAACTTAAGCTATGAAATTCGGTGCCATTTGAATACCAATAAAGCCACGTCAGCTAAATGAGGATTAGTTACGCGGTTTAGGATCCAATAATTTAGTTTGGAGGAGAGAGGGACTGGATACAGCTGGATGATTGATAGTGGGGCCCTTGCCAATTTCGACAATCCAATAACAGTTGGCCACGTGAACTGTCGCGTCAATTATGGCAGTCGCCTGAATTTGTTTTCTGCCACTCCCACCGCCCGACTTTTTCAAAAAAAGAAAAAGGAAGACTATATTTCTATTCATGTTTTCTTTTTCTTTTTTCTTTTTTCTTTTTAATAATAAAAATACCATATTTATATTCTTCCTTATATATATATATATTATATATATATGTATGCGTGTATTTCTAAACTTACTCTGTTCCACGGCACACGATAAAGTCGATGCAGTTTTGGGCCTTAACTGGACTGGATCAACTGATCTTCATACAAAACTTCGGCCCATAAAATGACAGCCCAATGGACATGACAAATTATAATTTTGGCCCATTTCTTTGTCTTCCTCTCTCCCTAACTCCAGTCTCTGTTGATGTTCTCTTGTTAGTCAAGACTAGGGCAGGTTTTTTTTTATTATTCTATAGTTCATCATAAATTATGTTATTATTAAAATGAAAGTCTCTAATATAATATCAAAAGAGCAATTTCAAATATAAGAAAATTTTTATTTGCTTTGACATCTCTATTCCTTGGGACGGTTCTAATACCGTTGTGTTTTGGATCCTTGATTTTATGAATTTGTATTTGAATGTTGATTTTTGTAATAATACGAGTCTATTTAAAGCATTTACAATTTGATTTTTTAGATGGTTCTCTTGAGATATTTTCGATTATTTATTTACTTTGGGCGTGTTATAGCTAAATTGAATTCTTAAACTAAGGACATAAACTTTGAACGTTAGCTTAAAAGTATGCATTCGTTCGAAATTACTAACAAAGAAATATAATCCTGTCATTATATATATATATATATATATATATAGAAGAACTTAATAATAATCAATGTAGCATGCTAATGCCTATGGTTAGTGTGTTAAAAGTGCATGCAGCCGCATTTTCTTGAGACCCAACCCCATCATACCTGTCATTATGTATATATATATATATTTTAATTTATTAAGGAATTGGTTTGCTTTTTTCTTTTTTTAATCTTAATTTAAAATTTTCATCTTTTACTTCTCCAACCAACACATGGATTTTGCACCATTTTCTTAAGGAGATTTGGATTAACCTTTTTTAAAAGTTACATCAAACTCGCTTCGATCGTTTTTTGATGGTAAAAGATAGAAATTCATTATTTATTTATTTCCCACCTTTTATATGGGTTATAGTCCATAAAATAAAATATAAAACCAAAGTTGAAATATAATAATTTTTGTCTACATGTTTGCATGGTGGGTTCATTGAACTCAAAGTTAGGAGTTATCTGTCCTTTTTTGTAATTAGATGACCCAACCCAAAATTTGTATTAACATTCCAGCTTTTAAATATATATTAAAGAGGGTTTTTATACACTTACAAAATATAAATAATTTTATCTTTTATTTTATATATTCTTTAATGGAAGATATATATATATATATATTTGAATATTGATCTTATAAGTCCTATTTTCAATAATAAAGTTAAATTTTCAAGAATTATGTTTTTTTTTTTTTATAAAAAAAAGTTATGGTTAGTGTAAAATAAGGATAGAACATTGTCGGATAATAGCCCATTGGTCAACTTTAACCTCTGGAAATCATACACATGTTGTACATGCAAAGTATAGGCGTGTATTACTTCTTAATTCATATTTATCTCTTTACATATTTAATTTTAAAATGAGATATGATACAAAGATTTAGCAATTCTTAGTGCAAAATATTCTTTTAGTTCATAAACATCTATTATTAAATTGAAGTTTATTTTTTAATTTTGATGCAATAAGGTGGACCATGCCCACTCTCTCTTTTCTCTCTTCAAATTTCAGACGCAAATCTTGAGCTTCTCCAAACCCCTTCGTGTCCCTTAATCCTCTCTAATGGCGGAAAGGCCTAAAAATGATCATCCCATTAGATCGCCTGACATAGCCCTCCCTTTCTGCTTCTTCTGCATGATGAACGAACCCGACCCAGTTCTCAGAACGCTCAAAATTACCGAATACTTCAAAGAAATGCCTACGAGAGATGATCGGGAGTCTGTTCTTGCATTGAGTGGGCTCTGGAGCATCGCCATGACTCGACCCAATAACCCGGAATTTCCTGAGATTGGGATTTTCGAGTGCATGGCAAAGCTTATTTGCAGAGGAATTAGTGATAGGGAATGGTTGCTTAGAGACCAGAACGTTTATATTCCTTACTATGCTGCTCATATTATTGGGTCTTATGTCATGAACAGAGCTGAATTTGCTGAAATTGCTGTTGAATCTGGTGTAATTCCTCCATTAATGGAGCTTTTGAAAGGAAAAATCAGCTGGGTTGAGCAGAGAGTGGCCGTTCGAGCTCTTGGACATCTGGCAAGCCATGAAAAGACATTCGAATCTGTAGCTGAAATTGGAGGTGGGGTCGTGGAATTGGCAATGGAAATTTCTTCAATATTTGTCGAAAATGTTTACAGACAATTCTTCTGTCTAAAACAGAGGTTGAAATATCAACGAAATTTGCTCACGAGAGGCCTCGGAGGGGTAGAAATTGAGAACAGAAAAGCAGAGGAATGGGCCATTCAAACGCAGTGTTGGTCTCTTCATCTTCTTAATTGCTTCGCTCGTAAAGAGAGACATTTGAATTTACTCTGTAAAAGGGATTTCTTGAAGAATTTGTGTCAAATTTGGGGTGGATTAATGATCCCAGAAGCCCCTGGCGGAATTGGGCTTCTGAAAACTCTGTGTAAAACAGAGCCCGGAAGAAAAATGGTGGCGGATTTAGAACAAGTCTTGAAATCACTGTGTGTTCTTGCAAGATCCTCAGATGAACGGCAGGTTATGGCAATTGAGTGCCTTTTGAGTTTGATCAAAGACCCAGAAACCCGACACAGAGTTCTCGAAATCTCTGTTTTGTCTCTTGTCGATTTGGTAGAGCTGGAAAACGGCAGTGAATTAAAGAAACCAAAATTGGGAAACACTTTAACCCAAGCATTGTTGCAAGATTATCACAAAATCAAATATGGAAATCAGAAGCTGCACAGTGAGAGAGCCAAGAGAGCTTTAGAGGAAATCTGGGAGTTAAAAGTTGAGAAGAAGAGGAGAGAGAAATTGATGTCCGAGAAAGAGATGAAAAAGAGGAAACTCTTGGTGGGTATTCTGAAAAAACAGGGGAATCACAAATTTAGAAACGGAGAGATTGAAAAAGCTGCAATGAAATACACAGAAGCTTTGAATATATGTATACCCAAAATGAGAAAACAGAGATTAGTGCTTTATAGCAACAGAGCTCAATGTTTTCTTCTACTGAGAAACCCAGAATCCGCCATTAGTGACACAACTCGAGCTCTGTGTTTATCAAAACAGGGGAGTCCTCACAGTCGAAGCCTGTGGAGAAGATCACAGGCTTATGATATGATGGGATTGGCTAAAGAGAGCTTGATGGATTGCTTGCTATTTGCTTGCTGCAGAATTAAGTTGAAGCACAATATTCCGTGTTATGCTGCTCGGATGATCAGCAAGCAGGCGAATGCCACGTCAGTATTTGGTTGTGTGAAGGTTAGAACATTCGAAGAGACGAAGAGCTTGCTCGAGAATCGCCAATGGGGGAATATGACGATTGGAGGATGTTGATGAGGAAGATGAAGCAGAAGAAGAATGGGTGTAGGACTGAGTTTGAATTCTTGTTTCCAATCCCATGCAATATGTGGCTGTTGGTGCGTTGACATCCTTATTTTTCTGTTCTTAATATTTTACTTGAGAACAAAATAGATAAATAACAATTCTTAAAAAGAAAACTCATTATTAAATATATTTTTGTTTCTTCAAGAAAAATAAAAAATAAGAAATGGTAAATTAGATTTTATTTATATATTTATTTTATGAGCCACAAATGTATTGTATTGTTGTGATTTGTTATCATTTTATATATTTGTCACTTTAATATATTATTTATTAATTATTAGAGCCCTGATTTATGCCAAACTACCTACCAAATAGATTAATAATTATTATGGATAAAATTTTTATTATAAAAATACCATAATAAAAAATAAAAAAAAAGGAAGATTCTCAACGAAAAATCTTTCATTTTTAGTTAAAAACTATGAGAATTCAAATAGCTTTTTAGTCGAAAATGTATAAAATTATGCTTATTTTAACAAGCAACAGTGAATTTCCTGACTTAGCTGTAAAATAGATTAGTTAGTTAAAGTTACCATACAATAAACTTATTTTATATGTAAATGAGAGAGATAGAAAAACGAAACCTACAAAAGTCTTTGGACAACATGATCGGATTTCAAATCCTACCTAACGCATCCATTTCATTTTCACATCAAAATACAAACCATTTTGGTAGGCCATATCCTACAAAACCAATATAAAATTACCATAAATAATCTAATAAAGTGAATTCCAGCATTGTCAATACTTTGTAATTAACAAAATGTGGCCTCCAGGGATTATAGACTTTTAAGGCTACTCCACTTATAGAAAATATAATATTATTACTTCACTTTGTGGTTGCATAATCTTGTCCATTATGTTTCAACATAAACATACAAAAATTTGCTACAAATACCTTACCCCTCTTCAAATTCATTCTCAAAATCCACATTGTCTATGCATTTCCGTACAAAATTATTGCATCGTGAAAAGATTAAAGCATCAACTTCGTAGAGTTAAGAGTTTCCCTTGAATTCAAAAGTTAGCGTTCATGGTGTTGGTGGTGTGGAGCGAAAGCATCACCATATCGTTGAGACGAGTCTTGCAATCCTTACCTAACCATCCATGCCCTAACGCTTTTGGTGGGATGCATTTGTATCCACCAACTTTATAATCAATCGCTTACCTACCGCTGTTCTAGCCAATCTTTCAGCATGGGAAAAGGGCTTTTCATTATCTGTTTCTTCCAGTGTTTGGTTGTGCATGTTTACCTTGTCTTCAACCTTATCAATCTCGTAAGTTTCAGTTCATAGCACTAAGGCAGTGAAGCTCACAAAGGCTACAAATGTTTTGAGTTTAAGAGGTCATCTCTTTGTGTTCCAGAAGGAAACTTCACAACCTTGTGCAAGTGCACAGTCTCCTTGTAAACTCAGCTAACTGATGGTTTAACTAAGCCGTTGACAGTGGCACAATTCTCCATTTTACAGTCTAAACTTGGGGTGCTGCCATCGCCCTCAAACGTTTGAGGGGATGTTAAGGATGAACACAATATGGTGGCAATTTTAGTGTTAATGACCAGTGTAGCTTGTTATTGTTTTATTCTTCTGTTAACAGTTGAAGTGTATGCGGTCATTCCTTATAGAGTGAATATTACTCCACCCTGTATTGATTAGTTCTACGTATTCGGAACCTCTTTAAATAACTTAATCAACCATCTTAGAGCCAGTAACAATCAAGTCTAAACCCACCGCTAACAAATATTATTCTCTGAGTTTTTCCTTTCAAACTTCTTCTCAAGGTTTTTAAAACGCGTCTGTTAGGAAAAAGTTTCCACACCTTTATAGAGAATATTTCGTTTCCCTCTTCAACTGATGTAGGATCTCACAATCCACCCCCCTTTGAAGCCCAGCAACCTCATCGGCACTCGTTACCCTCTCTAATCGACGTAGGATCTCATAATATAGCTTAAAATTTTCTATAATGGAATTATCTTTTTTCTTGACTATACCTATAAAGTTCTACCAAGCAATAGCAAGCAGACACCAGAATCACGAAGATTGAATCAACATGCTTATACATGAATACAGCTGGATATTTTATTATCAACAGAAAATTTTAGTTAATATAATGAATTTTAAATAGAAAAATGAAGGGAAACTCAGAGAGAGAGAGTTCAGAATTTTATACCGTTGTTGGGGTTAACGACCAAATTTGTGTATGCTTTCAGCTTTGGCAACAGATGCCTGTGTGCTTGCCAGCCATGTGCCCACTTCATTGATGCAGAAGGTACAGTTGATTAAATTCCAAGAGAAAGGAGTCTAAATTACAAAATCACATCGGCTTTCCTGCATCATTGTCAAATCTGGTCAGAAACCTTACAAATTAGAGTACTGCTCAGAATAGATGCATTTAGAAACAGGATGAGATGTTTCAAACAAACATATCTAGAACATGCTTCAGATACCTTAACCTTTCAGAAGGCGGAAATAAACAAACATATCCACATGCTACTGCAGATTTATTCTAACTCACCTTAATTAAATCTAGAGGAGCTCAATCGTCATAAGAACTCAAAGCAGAAACAACTGATCCCGTTGTTTTAAAAGTTGATGCCACATCTGGAAATTCTTTCCACGACGTTGTCATCTTGAGAGATGGATACAACCAACTCTTCACAGAATCAACAAAACAATTTGGATCGAAATTTAACAAGGCTTCCCAATCCACTTGCAGTCCTCGTGGAATGTTCCCACAGAACTCCATGTTAGCTGCAAGAAGCAATCCAAGCAAAACAACAAATCCAACAGCCGCAGAGCCCCTTGAGAGTGGCATAAAATTGTACCTAAAATGCATTTGAGTTTAATAAAGAACCCTGCTGAATTAGCAATAGAATTAGTACAACTGTAGAAATACTGTACCAGTAATAGCTCATCCTTAGGATTGCATCCCTCACACTTTCTAGAGTGCTAAAATCCATAGAGCCATAGTTTTCTCCGCAATAAGCATTGCATATTGTCTGAAAAAATGAAGTTGTGAGAATATTAGACTTTAACTCATTACTGAAAACAAAAAAGAATATTGGCTTTCAACATGTAGTGTTTGTAGCTAGATAGAAATCAGAGGTCCAGATGCTAATAAATTTAATTCCAATGATCGAAGGAGAAGGAGAAGGCTCAGAAGAATAAGGGGAGCATGTAATGGAGCATCTGACTCAAAATGTGGCTTGTCTGTTGGTTGCTCTCGATGACCATACAAAACCATGGCTACGATAATCAGTAAAGTAATTTGCTGATCTATAAACCGTCCCTAACGAACGATCGGCTCATAAAGACTTGGTTGAAGGGAAAATGATTTTCCCGAAGTCGTGAAATTGGTTTAATCCAATTGCTCTAAAGAAGCTTTGAGGCTTTTGAGGGTTGCTCTTAAGAAGCTCAAAGAAAATTCACTCATTTTGCAATCTACAATTACCTAGAACTATACCCATTTTGCAATATTTTTCCCATCCTAAGAAATTCAGAATTTCTCTGATCGGTTCCGATCATCAGGTACATCAACGAAAACAGGCACATACAAGAGGTCTATAAGTAACATACTTCCCATGCTGTCGTCATCTCTGCATCAAATTCTTCCCATCTAGAAGCTGTACATGGAGTTCTGATTGCAAAATCAAATCCACGTTCTCCCCTGAAATAATTATATTGGAGAGGGAAAAGGTTAGAAGAAGATAAACATAAATCATAAAAATTACAAAATAAAGCAGCAAAGACATGGTTAATTTACGTCTTTGCTAGTGTAATCCTCGTCCCTTCAAGTTGCTTCCTGAAACAAGAATGAAACAACAGAAAATAGGCATTAGAAGACATTTAAAGAGCTCAAGGATTTGTTGCAGATTAGATTACCCCTCGAAAGCAGTACTGTTGCACCAGGTAGCCAACCAAAAATCCTCACCAACCACTTTATAAAGATCAGAGCACGACTTTGCTTGCATAATCTGCAATAAATGGACATTACTCACGTTTGTAATTTGACGAGGCAGAAACGTTCTTCCTTTCGGTGCATCCGTTTTAAAGAATTTTGTATTAATGAAGTTTTGTATATTTTTGTATACAAGCCTGAACAAAAGACTGGTTCTAAACTCATGACAGCAGAAATTTTCATATGAACATATTATATCATACAAATGAGATATAAGAAAATATTCGCTGGATTCTGCTAAAATTTCAGTTAAGAAAAACTGTTATATAATCAGAGAATCCGTTGAGCAATTTGATAATCTTTCACACTAAATTAACACAAAAAAACTCACATCTTGTAATTTTCCATCACCACTCAGGTCCACCATCATGTCTGACTTGTTGTACACACAGGATTTATGCTTAATGACCGTTTTTGCGGCTTCTAGTGTCCTGTGGGGTCAACAATGATTAGAGCAAGCCCATCAATATTTGCATGAAGAAACCATTATTTTATTTTTACCTCTCAAAATTTGGGAAGTACCGAACCAGTTTTGCTTGCCCAAGAATCATAGATGTATGAGATCCAAATCCAGAATTGAACTCTTCACTAAAATAACCAAACACCCAAAATTTAGACTGCTATAACAATGTGAGGTCCCACAATCACACAACAAAACAGGATTTTTTTTCTTTTCTTGTCGCTAAAATAAAATATTGTTCATTGAGCGCAAAGAAACAACGAACAAGGTCTAATAGGACTTCATTTGATGAGAAATACCTTAGTTTATTAATCCACAAAACAGGATCACAGGGTTCGGAAATTTGTCTCCACTTGACAGCTAAAGAGTAAATATCTTGCCATGAGATAAAATTATGACCAGGTAATCTATCTTCCAGATGACTAGTTGAAGATGATGTTTCTGAAAAGCCACTAGTACTACAACCAGCACCACCTCTGTTCTGGCTGGATATACTGGGCCTTTCTCTTCTCCGAGCTCTTTTACCATACTTGGTTGTGCTTTTATTGGAACATTTCCATTCTGCTAGCAGCGAACGCCAAGTTCTTGAAATCCTTTGAGCAACATCAATGGCAGCTAATCCTGCCATGCGATGCTGGTAAACAGAAAGATCAGATTCAGTACTTCTTTAGAACAAGAGACTCTTTTAATTATTCCAGAGAAAAGACATGCACAAACAAGGGATGATGTTGGGAGCGAAAATTGTGGAGAATGCACAATACCGATCATAATAATGAAAAGATATATGCACATGAACAACTAGGTGAATACAAGTGAAACTAATTTTGAAATTTAGTATTTTATTTCTGAAATGAGTGAGATTACCTTCTAAATTTTAATGTAATATGTTATCCCACTTCAAGATTAAATTTTTTCCAGAGCTACTTATTCTATGGTTAGTCAAATTTTACTAAATACTAATCAAAATGAGTGAAAGTGTGAAACATGAAGATAACACAATACAAAATATAGTTCTGCTATATTCGATATGCAGAACTTTCAAGAAACACTAAACAATGGTGAATTATGCTAGAGTAATTTAGCAATCAGCAAAAGATAAATTTAGTGGAATAGGAAGGAGTATCAGACATGCTGTAGGAGATGTTCACATAATTTTCAAATTATTAGTCACACTGAATCACCTGACGCCGATTTGACAAGAACCCGGGACAATCATACTGGATTTTTCTCCCAATATTATCAGCAGCCAATAGAAGTGATATCTTCTGCTTTGTCATCCCGTGGTCTTGCTTTCTAACTCTACCCTTCTTTAAAGGCTCGCGTATTGGAGGTTGTCTGAAAACCTTTTCGCAAACATCCTTCGGGTGCAATCGTTTGAACCAATACTCCTAATATTAAAAAATATTACACAATCACCACATGAGTTAAGAAATTGTTTCAAATCTGGAAAGCACAGATGCGTAGAATCCAAAATCAGTATTAACAAAGCATATATTTTAATGTCAAATAGAGAAGACTTTTTCTTTATTAGTTTAAAATTAACTTCATACAAATATTTAATAAAATATATAGGGAAAATTAAAAATTTTGGTGTCTGGACCTGGTAATAAATGTATTTTTCCAATCTATCCCAAATTAAAGTAGAAACAAACAAACGATAATTATCGATCATGACCTCAATCCCATTTTAAACAACAATTTCCTCCCTACAGATGGAAATTTAAAAGTAATTAGAAGGGTAAAAAGTACGAGTATCATTCGAGAGAAAGATAAAAAGGAGCTGTTTTGACGAGTGGTTTCAGGTAAATTATAAAACGAAAGAATGAGAGCAAAATATCATCCTGACCCTTCCCTAAGTTTATAGTTTTTGACGGAAAAGTACAAGAATATAATTACAGTAATTGTATTGGAATCAAATAACTCCTTTTGAGATTTTTTTTTTCTTTTTTAATTGAAGCTTCAATGTACTGAAGTGGACAATGAGACAATGCTTGTAGGCATAACAAGAAGATGTAGAGAAATAATACGGTACAATAAAATAACCAAATATATCTCCAAAGGAACTGCACCTTGAAGAGTGGATCAATATCCCCATCAATAGAAAACCAACAAAAATCACTATTGCTTTTTGATGCTGTGTATAGAGCAATTTCCTTCTGCAATGAGTGAAAACAAACAAAAATTATACACAATCAATGAGAAGTTTTGTTTCTTGTAAAAAAAAAGTTAGAAAAGTAAAAACCTTAATATATTCAATATGAACCTTCAGATATCGATGCATTTGAACACAAATTAACATGATCAGTCAATTGCAAAATATTGACATACAAGTTTTCGCTGAACGTATAAAAACAGTTATGAGCAAAACATGCAGTCTAAACTTAAAACTAATCTGCACCACCTAAAATAAAATAAACAGAGCATTTAATCTGTAAGTAATCAAAGACCCGAGCTGGCTATACTTAGTGAAGCAAGAGACAAAGGTTCTACGGTAATGTTCGCATTAATGTCCGTCTCAACCCCGTTCTACTCATATCCTAAGTGAGAATAAAGGAACCCTTGCTTATAAAATTGAAATTGCACATCATGGGTGCCTAATTCTTTATAATCTTTTCAAACCAATAACTCTCTCACCCTTTTCCTACTCACTAGGAAGAAAACAAGAGATCACCACCTATTTCTACAATGTGATCATACAAATTCTGGGAAGAGTTGACATCCCTAGAGGCATCCAGAAATTAACCTGATAGAATGCTAGGCATTGAAGCATGAATTTGTCCATGGAATCTAGATCCAAATCTAAGGTAGCATCATAGTCCTTGACCTGCCATAAATAGCACACCGAGTAAGACAAAATGGCAAGATCGTTAAAAATACTTCTAAAAGATGAAATGGTCAACGATATTCATCATTGTACCGCTAACCCATATTCTCCAATAGCATGGTAGCAGGAAGCTCGCAAATACAAACACTCAATGTTGGCATTTTCAATGTTCAACCCAATAGATAATTCCTTGATAGCCTTTCTGCATGTGTGAACTAGGCATATTAGAGTAACATAATGACTGGACATTCTTACAACATGTCATTAGTTTTCAATTTCCAGAAATTTCAAGTTATCACATAACAAACTCTACAAATTTGTAATGTATTAGTAAGAACCCAAGTACTCAAATAAAATAGTTTCAAACTGCATATTATTATCAATCTTGTATATAACAAAGTTTAATTTCATGAAGCTTTAACCCTAAGCATAGCATTCCTATAGAAAATCAAATCGGAAATGAACTCAAACTAAAAATCACAATCCCTTATTTGCTGCATCTTCACGAACTCCAACAAAAATCATACGTGCGTCAAATTGTAATTTTCTTTTTGGAACATTGTTGCTCTTAATCTTCCCTTCAATCTTTTCTCCTTCCAATCAGTTTTCTCGGGGAAACCTTTTAGCAGAGGACCAACAGCCTCTTTATTTGTTAGTCAGAAGCAGCAATGGGGTGGTGTATCATAAGAATCTACGGACCTTCAAGGTATAGGGAGAGGGATTTTGTCTGAGGATTAGATTAGCAGTTAATAAGTATTAGGGTTAGGTATTGTTTGAAAATGCCTTTTCAATAGGGAAGATGAGTGTTTTTCAACTTTAAGGGGTCATAAGAGGCATGCCTTTTTCCCACAAAATTAGGGATATTACTATGTTCGACTTGCTTAAGGTGTTTGATAAATTTTATGAAAGCGTATATATAGTGGATAAGGCCTTGAATGAAACCTACATTTATACTAGTTTGAGTTTGACACCCTTTCTAGATCCATGCCTAGGTCTGACCAAAAGCATCTTCCCACCTCATAAAAGGTCCTTTTTTCAAAATGGTGGTAGGCTTGCCCTAAATTCATCTGTTTTAAGTGAGATTCCTCTATGTTTTTTTTTTCTTCCTTATATATTTATGCAAATTTAGGGAAATTAAAAAGAAACTTTACATGGGAAGGTCGGGTCCATGCCCAACAGAAAGTTTGGCAGCGTCAGAAAGAATTAACACTAAGGAACCCATCCATGTTTTCCTCCTCCGTGTTTGGGTCTTAGAGGTGTGTTTCCTACAAGCAAACCTTAAGAAGACCTTGATCATCATTTTTGAGGTGTTCATCTGCAAGGAAATGGAGGTTTTCTTGGCTTTTAGAGTGAATTGGTTTCAAGAAATTCTTGTCACGCCATGCTGGGAAAAATTTTTCTTCATCCTACTTTCCAAAAGAAAGGAAACGTTTTTTTTGTGGCAAGTGGTCTCCTGACAGTTTCATGAAATACCTTGTTCGAAAGGAATTCGAGGATTAAGAAGGTCTTGGGAATTTGACCTCTCTGAATCTTAAGGGTTTTTTTTTATGATATTAGTTGCAGCCTTTTATGTGTGGGTGTTCGTGTTTTTCTTTATCCCTGATTTTTGAAACCCTTTCTTGTATTTTTTTTTTTTTTTTATTTTGTTACTTTTTTTCTTTGCTTTAGCCCATGTTTGCTTGATCTTTTTGTACTCTTTGATTGTCCTTGATGAAAGAGGTTTTTCATCCTCTCTCAAAAAAACAAATGTTCTCATCCAAAAAGAACTCTCTCAAACTGAAAAAAGAAAATGAAGGGAAAAAAAACTATATCACATCAATTCAAAAAATTTATAAAAAGACATGAGCAGAACATATACCTGTGTTCCCCTATCCCATGATACAATAGCCCGCACAAATGATATGCTTTGACAAACCTATCCATTAGACATTATAATTTTTATATGGTTCCTCCTTCACAAAACAATACTCTGCAAAGGGTACTTGTGAAAATAAACAAGCTAAATATTGATGAACAGTAAAAAAACATGGTTAGAATGGAACAAGGAACAAAACTAACGTGCTGTCCATCTGAAGAACTTGATGAAGACATTCCAAAGCCTTTGTTGTGTTTGCCAAATCTTGATAGAACTATATAATTAAGTATCACAATTAACATACTTTCTAGCTTCCTAATAGATTGACAAAAAAAAGGGCAGGGAAGCAGAGAACATGCAAATAATAAAAAATAATCCAAATTGCAATGCGAAAGGAAACTGTTCGCTCTTACAATTTCAAATGGCATTACAAACATTGATCAGAGTGCTTGTAGCGTGCATAAAACAAATATATATGACATACTCAGGTGACTAAAACATGTCCCCGGGGACTGTCCCCGTAGTAGCTAGATTGCATGGTTTTTTCTTTATTTTAACTAGAAGGAATATAAATTAGACTAGGAAGGCCTTCGAATTCAGAGACCACAAGGAAACAGCTTTAGTATTTACATGATAGCTTTAGTATTATGATTGGTGAACCGTGTAAGATTTTTTGGATTTATAGAGGGCTTATTGATAGCTAGCTCATGCGTTCGGACATGAAAAGAATACTTGGAATTACAACATCTGAATAGAAGGATATATTGCTGAGAAGGTAAAGAACTTCATGGACTTTGCAACATGAAATAATAGATAACTTGACCTTTCGATTTTGTTGTAAAAAATAAACAAAAATACCAACCAAATATCATTAATGTGGGCATAGAACCCACGTCAGAGAAGGGGAGTGAAAGCACACAAAAGCCAACCAAGGGAAGCGCATAGGAAGGAAAAAGGTATAAACTACATTTTATAGTTTCTGAAATTTTACTCTTATTTTTAGAAACATTATTAAAAAATTAGAAAGAAGACACGATATGAATTATCAAACAAGTCTATTTCTTAGAAAATTTGACACATAAACAAAAAATAAGAAATGAAAATGTTATCAAACAGATCCGTAGTTAATTATCAGTACCTGAATTAGATGGCCCCACGCCTCGAGGAAATTTCTATCTAATTGTATTGATTTCAAGTGTGCCTCCTCAGACCCTTTGTAATCACCAATTGAAGACAATGCCAAGCCCTGGAAACCAAATTTACTGCTTAGAGACCATAAGGATTTTTCCCAGAAGAAAGTACGTAAATATATGCCAGACTCCGATATCATTAAAACCGAGCAAGTAAGAAACTCACCAAGTAAGTGTATGCAGATGTATTACACCCATCCACCTTCAGACATTCAGACAAGTCCTCCACAGCAGCATAGAAGTCCTTGAATTTGAAATTAACGATTCCTGCATTCAAGTGATAAAAACTCAGATGAACAAGGAACAGACTTTTATGAACTGAAAAAACGAAGTGATGTAAAGAGCAAGTTAGATAAATTACCCCTTTCATGTAAAATATCTGCAGAATTTGGCTCAAGCTCCAGTGCCTTAGTTAAATCTTCAATTGCCTAAATCAAGAAGGAATTATAAACAAATTAATGTGAATCAAACATATAGCAACACGCAAGAGATTGTAAGCAATTTAAGGAGATATTTCTTGGGAGCACAATCTAATTGAAGCTAAGCTCCAAATGCTCAATCATAAAAATTTATAATAAATAATAGGGAAAAAGAATAAATTTTTACCATTGAATTTAGCAAGTGTACTAACAATTTTCACCCAAAACTTTCTATTTTGTCAAATTGAACTCTAGCTTTAGATAAGTGTTGCAATTATTACCTACAATTAATTTCTCACTGTATTCACCTACTAAAAATTTAGCAAAAAGCAAAGTAAAATCCCCTTAAACTATTTCAACAAAAATAAGTCCAATCAATGAACAATATTGACCATTGCTTCTCCCAAAGCCCACATGTTCAACAAAATCCAACTCTAGTATCGTTTTTCCAAGTGCTATTAATCTTGAACTAGACATGATTATAATTCATAGAATGCACATGAAAATATCTTTTCAGTAGTTTATCAAACAAAAGTAAGATATCAAATATAAACTTTTATACTTATTTAAGTTTAGAGTAAAAACGGCAAAAAAAAAAAAAAAAAAAAAAAAAATTCCGAAGCTCAAGTTCCATCCGATGAAATTGAAAGTTTAAGGTAAAAATACATTTAGCCTATTTCTGGTTAATTTTCTTCACTTTAAAGTATACTGTACATTCCCAAAATCTGCATTTAACTAAAATATAGTTGCTTCAATAAAAAGGTTTATTCTTAAAATATTGAAACAAAATGATCAAAGGTTGGCACAAGTATATGGCCGTGAATTTTCCACTTAAAAATTATAGGTCAGTTAGGGAAGAACGAGGGATAAATTCATTTGATAAAGCATCCTGAATTGGGTCTTTGTGGTTACATGTTGGATCCCTTTTTAAAGTTTCTGAACTATTAGAGATCTTATAGGGGGAAAAATCATAGACAAGAGTTTAAGATGAGCAAATTTTTTATGCAGAGGTGTGATGGGGATCAAAATATTGTTGCCAAGAACGATGTGCTTTTATCCAATGGTTGTGGCGTTCTCTCTTGCAACTTTGTTTACACTTGCTTTTATCCAAGAATTGTTGACCAAGACATACAATCAAACGTTTATATTGAACTTACCTCAGCAGATGCTCCTAACGCAGCCCGAGCCTGCCCTCTTCGTTTCCATGCCTCACCAGCAAATGGGTTTGATTCTAAAGCCTGATATTTAATTAGATTAACAAAAAAAATTGTCAATTAATTATATTTCCCTTTCATGTCTTATCATCCACATACCTTTGTAAAATCACCGATAGCAGCGTCAAGTTCTCTTTGGAATGCATAAGCTGTTCCTCTTCCAATTAATGCCTCAGGATAACTAGGATCTTCCTTCAATATCTGTGGAAAACTAAAATGGCCCTTAACATTCTCCAGAAGTTGACAGTTAGGCTTATCCTCCTACCCACCCATTTGCTATCAACTAGACATAACAAATCGTGAAAGGAGAAGAAAGAACCACGCACTAAGAACCAGATATTACCTGGTCAAAGATAGAAATAGCGATAGCATACTTCCCTTCATTGACCTGCCAAAGATTAGAATGTCGGTCTAGAGAATATTTAATTTCTAAAACACGTAACATGAATTAGAAGTATATAGTATGTGTACCTCAGCTATGCCTCTTGATAGTCGGAAATCTACACGTATTGACTTTGTCTTTGAAACTTTAGCAACAGGGAATTTCTTAGTTCTCTTGGCTTCATCACTTATACTGCCTTGTATATCTGAAATTTTACTTGGCTTACTTAAAATGTCGTTGGAATCACTTGATTTGCTATGAAAAAGCCGTTACTTTGGACTTACTAGAAAATTCAGATATATCACTTCTTAAATCATGCAATTTGGAAGCATCATCATAGTCACTACGCCCATTGCTTTCACAGTTAATGTTACTGTTCTGACCAATTTCTTCGCTTCCGCCTTCAAATACAGAAAGATTGTCACTTGATCTGCTGCAAACTTCAGACGCATCACTTGGATTCATGTAGAAATCAGGATGTTCCATTAATTTATCTTCATTATTATTTGTTTCACTCAATTTTCTGTTAGCAGGTGTAACTTCTGATTCAAGAACAACGGTTGAAAATCCCGACTCCACTTCTACATTTTCCACATTGTTTTTGTCTTGTTTTTCTTTTGTCAAAAGATCTTCCAGTTCTAGCAATTGCTTCAGGTCTGCAGATTGACATAGAGCATACTGGTAGCCACTCTCCCAAACGGAAAGAGCGTCCCCTTTCTTTCCCAAGGAAAAGTATGCACGACCTAAACAACAAGAATCTCAAACTCAGCTCACAAATTTGTCAATAAATCTACAAATACTTTTATTTCGAAAAGTTAACAAACAAAAAATCCTAAGTGAACTCCCCATGTGAGTTATTCAAAAATCATAGCTCCTTTTCAAGATAAGGAAAAAAGAATAATTTCCAATAATATTTAAGTACTCTTTATCCCAGAGCAGCAAAGCTTTTTAGTGGAATTTAGTAAAGCCAAAGGTATGCTACACCAACAAATCTTTTGCAACTTAACACATTAATTATAAGATCCCTTAAAGTTGGGAACACAACCTCGCCCTATGAAATGAACAAAACTAAGGAACCCCCCACCCCACCCCAAGCCCCCCGGCCCTACGCTGCTATACAATTTTTGTCACCGGATGCTGCAGTGTACATTCGGAAGACCAATGGTTCATGCCTCGTCTAGTTGTTAATCTCTTCAACTTCGACTCTTGTTCTCATTCACTCGTTAGGAATAAGAAATAAAGGAAAAGAACTACTAAAATCCAAATCCAAGGACCTCAAATCGACATTCCAGTGAGTTTCGGGAGCGTAAGAATGAAGGATGCGGCTACAATTTTTATCTTATCAATAATTGAATTATCAGAATCAGCTCAAAATCAAAAGATAAACGAGCTAATGCAATAAGTACCTTTGAGCACATAAGCTTGAAGAAGCGAGGGATCCAGCTGAAGCGCTCTATCGCAGTCCTTAATTACATGCTTGTGCAGCTCCAATTGGCTGTAGCAGAATGCTCTATTGCTGCAAAACAGTTATCTCGATAATTAGGCTTGAATCAACTCACTAGTCCTTTAAAAAGTTAACAAAAATCGAAAGACAGCAAGTCAAGTGAGCAAGAATAGAACAAGACCATATGTCTTGAACGGTGCAGGACTTGGTTATGAGCGAGTCGAGGACTCTGATTGCCTTAGACCAGTCCTTTGAGCGACAGAACTTAGCGAGTTCGACTCTCTCGGAGATGGCCGGAGCCATTAATTCAGCTCGACGGAGGAAACTTCGTCGAGATCAGCCGATGGCGAATTCTATTCTTGTATATGCAGTTCTTTTGAATCAACCAGTCCCCCTCCCCCTCTCTTAGCTCTTCAAGGAGAAGTGTGGAATGGGATGATCGGAGCGTCCATAGTCGACCTGTATCGAGCTGGAAACGGGAAGCGTGAAGAAACTGAGACTCTCGGAAACGGCGTGGAGGATATATCCATTGAAGAACGGTGTTCACTTGCCGCTAATGTACGTGCGTTTCACACGTGTGGTCAAACGCCTTGCCGTGATACTATTGGTTGAGTGCGGTGACGTGTACTGGAAAAACGACAACATGCCCTACAGTTTTGTTTCTCTTCAAAAAAAAAAAAAAAAAAAAAAAAAAAAAAAAAAAAAAAAAAAAAAAAAAAAAAAAAAAACAAGAAAGGTTTTGTATTTTGATTAGTTTTTTTGGCCAACAATACACGACACAACTTAATCTTTTCAAAAGTCTCCAATTTTTTCTTTAATAATTTAACATCTGTCATTATTTCTTTTCGATTACTTTGTTATAATTTGTTTAATTAAATTTATTATTTTATTGATAACGATTTCACGAGATTCAATAATCTAATTTTTAGATATCATACTATTATAAGGTTCGTAATTCTTAAAATACTATCAAGAGAGGCTATGTGTATACTTTGTTGTATACTTTGTTCAAATGAAGGATTGTTGGGAGTAGTTAATTTAGGAAATTATCGCGGGTCATGATTCCTAACACTAATCACTCCCTATCCGCCATGACTGAAGCCATTGCCTCCATTTTTCGACTGAATCTTTTCGTTAAGATCCTTTAGGTTTTTTATACTCATTCAAGTTTCAAATTTGTATTTCATCTATGTAATTTGAGTTGAATCGTAAAAAAAAAAAATAATAATAAAAATATCTTTAGTAGCTCAAATTTCAACCGTTTTTTAATTATTATGGTCATGCTATATTTTTAAAAATGTCATAAAATAAAATAAAACTTTTAAATTAATGTTGAATGGATGAAATTAAGCTAAAAAAATTAGATGGGGTGACTACAATATTGTCTCATTGAAATTGGTAGAATTGGCTGGCCGCCGGTTGCATGAAGCCCGGCGAAATTCCGGCCAAACTGGCCGGGTTTCTTTAAATTTCTGCTGGGTTTCCCGTAATCCGTCTGGAATGGGCCAAACTTCAGCCGAATTCATCAAATCTAGCCGACAACTTCGGACGAGATTAATAAAAAAAATATAGCTGAAATGAGCCAAATTTATGCTGATATTCTAATTTTCTTTTTTCAATTTTTAATTAATGGTTCATTAATTTATTCACATACGATGTAACCCTCACTAGAATATCCTCATTCATCAAACAGTATATATATATATATATATATATACACGCATTTAATCTCAAAATATTTATTTTTATTATCAAATATACATTATACCAAATATATATATATATATATATATATATATATATACACGCATTTAATCTCAAAATATTTATTTTTATTATCAAATATACATTATACCAAATAACACGTAACTGTATCAAAGCAAAAATATTCAATGTTTTTTATTTTTTAATACGTCAGGTTTCCCTTTAAGTAATACATTACAAAAGGCTCGAGTATTAGTGACTACTAGTTCTAAATAATCCAAAACATTAAGTGACTATTAGTTGTAAATAATCCAAAACATTAAGGAAAAAATTTCAAAAATAATTTTAAATTATCATAAGTTTTTTTAAAGTAAATTATATCATACTAAATCTAATTTACTCATACTAAATTTCCAGCAACATTAATTTAATAACATAATGATTATAAAAATATATTTTTCATTCGGGCGTTGCACTTTAAGAATTTAAAGACTTTTAAGGGCACAAAAGATATTTATATTTTTAAAATGGGCCTTTTTCCAAAGGGAAAACATTTAGAGAGGGAGAGACCGACGACGAAGAACGCGAGAGGGTGAGCGAGAGAGAGATCGACGAACGCAGAGTGGAAGGGTAAGAGATCGAGACTGAAGACGGGCGATTGTAAGCTATGAACCCTAATTTGAGAGTTTGAGTGCGCCGACGAGGGGGGAGAGCGTGCAAGTCTCTTTGGCTGAGCTGATTAATTTAGTGCCCTAAAACACCAATTCCTATCGTTTTTCCACTTGCCGATAATTTCAGGCTCCGGCGAAAGAGAGACGCCGATGGGCTTTATCAGAAGTAGCTTCTCCTTTATAGTGGGAACGGTGTTTGGCATTTACGTGGCCCAAAATTACAGTGTTCCCAATATCAGGAAGCTCGCCAATACTGGGATTCTGATGGCCAAACACATCGAAGAGAACTACAGGAAGCCAAAGAAGCGGGAGGACGATGATTGAATCGAAGATTTTCGAGCCAGGTTCCCCTTTTGACATACTATTGAAGAAGTGTTTTTTACTTCTGGGTTTGTAGGCAAAATTTTGTGGTTTTTGTTGTTTTCTGTTCAGGAAAATAACAAAAAACTGAGTTTCGATCACGTAATCGGAGTATGGAATTTATTCTTACATGAATGCATCATTGTTGTTTTTGGGTGGTATAGTGGTAATAAGTAATGCAACATTTTTTTTAAAACACTCAAGTATGCGTTTGATTCTTTGTAAATATTTATTGATCGTTTGAACGTGAAGCCTACCGATGTTTATCTTATTAACAGTTTTATGCGTTTTTCCAAGATTATTCTTCAATTCTGCATTGCAGAAGACCTTAGGGGATATGGGACTGGGAATGGTATCTGTTCATCTCTTCATAGTTTCAATTAAATATCCCTGGAAAGATACCATTAAGTGATTTATCCTCATTTTCATTCATCGATTCAATTAGTACTTCAAAATTGAGTCGCTTATCCAAAGCATGACGTTTTAGTTCTTATCTAGTGAAATTTAAAGATGCTAGCGTAAATTCTATGCAAAGGAATGAAGTATCCACTCTATCCACCTGAGAAAATTTTGGATTATTTTGACATCTGGGCATGGTATGCTCGAATTATTGAGCTTGTCAACTAGATTATTTCCATCTTAGTTGTATTTTGCTTTATGGTGTCTGTTGTATTGGAAAAAGGTGTAGAAAAATTGGGTAGAACGACTAGGTATTATTCAAGCGCATGACAGAAAAAAAGAAAAAATAAATAACTCTCCGCATTGATAGCTACAAAAGATTTAGAATAGTTACAGAATACTTGTACTGAAGTAAATTCTAATTGAAGGCTACAAAAATGAACTCAACTAAAAAGAAAAAAACAGAGCTTCAGATAGTTTTCTTTTTTAGAAAAATAAATATTAGTGGGTTTAGGCTATCGGGAAGTTCTTTAAGCCTCCATCTTAAGCAGTTTGGTTTATTGGTTCTGACTAGGCTGGCATTTTTATATTTGGCGTATTCCGGATTTAACTTCTTTCTAATTGCTATTGTGAAAACAATAGCTTTAAAACGTGAAGAGCGGCCTTGATATTTTTAAACGAGTGAGGCATTAGTGGACTCTCAATGGAACGCATTAACCATTGATAAAATCTTTTCCCTATTCATGACATCCAAGAAAGCAATTTCCCCTTGCGAGGTGTTCTTAAAGAAGTTTCTGGAAGGTTTGATTTGCATTAAGCTATTGTTTAATCCACCGAAATATGCACGGTGTTTCAGATTTCCATTTTGTGAAGAGGTGGTCTAGGTGAGTTGAACTCTGATAGGAACTGTAATACCGTGGACTTTCTCTCTCGAGCTTTAGTTTTAGAAAATGCTCTAAAACGCATCTGTTACGTTCTAGAAACTTGAAGTTTTCTCGAAGTTTCTGAAAATTTTTAAAATTTGGCTGGCATCAATTATGTTTTTGGAAGAATATTTGTGATACTCATATGAAACGTAAGCTACTTGCCCATCTTTCTTGTTTTCTATGTCCCATTTTGTTTTGGCTTCATCTCCTAAGTTATTGTAACGAAATGAAGAATATATTTGGTGACAATTTTTTCTAAACTGAAGATGGGAGGATCTCCTTTGTTAGGTGTAACATTTAGGAAGGCAAAGTTGAGATCTAGAATTGGATCTTTCAAAAAGCTAAATTTAGGTGATAGAAGCCTTTGCATTGTTATGGTTCACACCGAAGGATAGATTGTTCTGTCTGAATTAGCGAATGTGTGCTGTCCCATGCTTGCTTTCAATACAGCAGCCACTTCCATGATGCTAGAAACAAACAAACAGTCTTCAAAATCCAAAAGAGTATACTAGTCTTGATAACTAAAATGGCTGGAGGGTAAATCGGAATCTACCAGAAAAGATGCCTAATATAGAACAGAGGAGATAACGAGTGCTGTCCAATGCTTTGTGTACACTTTCTTCTAAATGGATTTTGCTCTGTGTCATTATGTGGTGTCCTTCCGTAGACCCTTTCTTTGCCAGATTGTCTGGGGAACCTCATTTGAGTAGGTTCAGGCCGAGTATTGTGTTGCTGCCATCACAACTGAAGTTTTGGCTATTACACCTTGATATGTGTGCTTTGGGATACTTCGCGTGATCAAATGGTGGCTAGCTAGGTTGCTATCAGCCACTTCATATGAACAGATAATAGTTTGAAACACGATCACTCAAGTTACTAAAGATTGCTTTAAATGGTCTCGATCCGCTATATACTTGTTTTGATCAACATTTTTACGTCAAGATTCATATTTACTTCATCCCACGTAGGTAAATCACAACCTTGATTCGCCAGCTAATTTATGCAGTTGTGATATCTTTAGCCAAGTGGAGGTTCTTCAAAGACTCCAGAAAGTTTGAAACTTGACCCTCGGGCTGGATCTTATGCCCATTACTATGCTATGGTTTTCTATATGCTGTTGGTTTCACTGGCTTCATTTTGACTATAACAACTGTCCATGCCCAACGCCTCTATCTCATGATCATGTAATGGTGAAAATTCCAACCGATCGAGAGTAGTAATATCTTGTCGAGTTAGCTATCTTCCATTGTCAGTGCCTTAAAAGAATTGAAACAGTGACAATTTTTCCACTAAATTTATTATTTTGCTAACTTGTAGGAGACAATTAACCAAACGCAGATGTTCTACTAAAACATGAAGAAAATTAATTACGGCGGCACGTTGATCTCAGGGCACTCCTTGGCGGTTGATCACCGACGAAAGGGCGTCGCCGGAGAGAGTGGGAGCGTCGGTGGAGCCACCGCCGCCGCCTCCGCGGCTGGGTTTGGGCTCGAGATGGCCTTGGGCTCCGTAGGCTTGGTTTTTGTAATCTTCCAAGTCCTTGTAATTCACGTACGGACTGGTCTCCAACGGAATGCCCTCCAATCTCTCCTCTTTACTTTCGCTCTTCCTTTCCGGTTGTTGCCGCTTCGGCTGATCGGCCTCGCGCTTATCCATCATCTTGAATCCCAATGAGCTTATCCTTCCCCTTGGTTTCCATTTTTAACGTGGGATAATACGATTTCGGAAGGTCTTATTTTTTGACACGTTTATACACCACCTGTACTTTCTGGTACCTTTCGTTGACACGTGTCTTGCACCGAGCGCGTGGATTACTTCCCATTTAGATATACTTTGAGATGGTTAATCTGTACATTTAGTGTTCGACCAAAGTTAATTTGTTCCATATCATGTTTCTCAAAGCTGATTTATTTGCCCATTTTTGTAAAGAGAGAAGGATAAAATACCCCCTTTTTTTTTTTAAATAAATAAGCGTAAAATTATTTATTTACCCCTTTTCTTTTATAAGGAGAAGGACTGAGTTATGAAAATCTAACTATGCCTTTTAGAGATAAGAGTCAAAATTTAAATCTCGTTTTAATTACTATCGTATAAAAACATAATTATTGAAAAATCATATTTAAGTTCATAATATTCCTAGAAAATAATAATTTAGACTTAACATTTGAAATCTCATCTTAATTACTGTCATATAAAAACATAATTATCGAAAGATCATATTTAAGTTCATAGTAGTATTCCTAGAAAATAATAATTCAGACTTATTATTATGATATTTGAAATAACGTAAATATATTTTCGTTTATAATATTATTTTATAGATTTTGGAGATTGAAATGATGAACGGCCTCAAAACAATATTATTTTAGGCCTTGCCAAAAAAGGAAAAGGAAAAAGAAAAAACAAGAGGTTTACGTCATCTTGAACCCACATAACTGAAAAATAACCTTCAACGTTATTAATTAATCCATTAAATGTTTCAATGTGTATGATCTGGGTGTGTCTTCCCGCCATGCACATAACTTTCGACGACCGAAAAGACCTTTTTAACCTTTGTTTTGTTGATTAAGTGCCAAAGCGCGAAGCCCGTCCAGCTTGTCCCTAGGCATCCGTATTCGGAACATAGAAGGAATAAGGAAGAGATCAGTGATTCCATCTAAGGAAACGAAGATGAAATGCAATAACGGGAAAAGTAATTGGAGCTTCAGATCGAAGCTAGGCTTGCCAGTATTTATCTTCATTTTATGCCTTTTTTGTTTCCTCGCTGGATTCTTCGGTTCTTCTCTTCTCTCTCAGGTTGATCCGCGTGCCTTAAGTTTGTAATCGCTATTAGATTTCGTCTCTTTAATGCTTATATTTAATTTTTTTGATATATCCTTGTTATCCGACGAATAAGCAGGATGTAGATGACGATAGGCCGGGACCGAGGTTGCTTCAATCGGTCAGCGATCATAGCGAGTTCGATTTGATAACCTCGGGAGAAACCGGCGACGATTCCATTTCTTCGATTCCATTTCAGGTGCTCTCCGTTCGGTTTTATTTCTCATTTTCCCACTGGTATGTTAGTTTCACCGCATTGTTACTCCGAATGAGTTGTTCTTGTTAGGTTTATCATGTATTTATGTGAAAGATAACTTGATCGGCGGACGAACCTTGCAACTGGTTATTCGACATTCAGTAGTCGTTATTTATTTATTTCAATTATTGCATGACCAATTAAGGTTTTCCTAAATGTAGCTCTTGAGCTGGCGACCTCGCGCACTTCATTTTCCGAAGTTTGCAACCGCTGAGCAATGCCAAAGCATAGTTAATATGGCGAGACCGGCGCTTAAGCCATCTGCCTTGGCTCTACGTAAGGGAGAAACGGATGAGAGTACGAAAGGAACCCGAACAAGGTATCTTCTGCTGCATGTATTGGTTCACATGACTTTATTAATTATCTTTTAGTTGCATGGAGTTAACAAAAATGCTCGATGACGTGATTCAACGAGTTAATGCGGTTAGACTATGGGGATTTCAAATGAGGATGGTTATTTCCTCAAAGTATATGTGGAATTAGTATGAGTTATGCTCGCATGCTCTAGGAAAGACATTCTGGTTTTATTTTTAATTTTCTCATCCACCGTTCTTTGAACTGCCTCAACATCGGGTTCTTCCTCTATTCCCAATTATAACCTTCTGTTCAAAGGTGTGATTTATTATGGCTGCAAAGTTATGCATTGAGATTTAAAGATTTCAGCATAATTGTACCTTCTTTCTTTTTTGTTTCTCCTTTTCAGTTCGACTCTTTGGTCATTCTCACCTATAATTGTTGATTGGAGTTCCTGTCGACTCCTAGGCGTTGGTTTAGGGGATTTGCATGTACTTTTGTTATTCTATGTTATCAATGGAATTGATGCAATTCTAAAACAAATATTCATCCTTCCATTTATTTTTTTAATCGCATTTTACAATTGTTACAATTACAAGTTAATCCGGCAGAACCTCTGAGTTAGCCAAGGTTATGGGTGAAAATGGATAAGTTCGACTATTTACTGTTAGGAATTGAAGGCTCCGTTATCAGGAATACATGATCATTCAAGTTCCTGGTTGGACTTTGGTTATAGGAATATAGAATATTGTAAAGGTTCCTGATTACATTTTCAATTTGATCCTCTCTCTGTGTTCCAAGCAGTTCTGGTGTTTTCATTAGTGCTTCCGAAGATGAAAGTGGGACTCTGGAAGCCATTGAGGAAAAAATTGCAAGGGCAACTATGCTTCCAAGGTCGCATGGAGAGGTATTATGATGGTAGAATTCTATTGGTATATTGTCCGTAAGAGTTAGCTTTGAGAGGTATTTTGCTCTAGAATCCAGAATATATTTTGCATGGAAATTTGATGGGAAGTGTTGTTGATCGAATTCTTTCAATCCCTTGGAGGAAATGAAACCATTGGCAAGTTACTGTGCATTCACCTCTATTGTCATTTCTTAACTTGGTCGCTGTGAATTTACCTCTAATGTTATTTTCTAACTTGCTTATTATTTCCATCTATATTTGTAGTAGTCGAGCCTTCTTAAAATTTATTTTTTATTTTTTTATTTTAAGAAGGCTCAACTAATACTTGACCTTTCTTAAATTTCCATCTAAAATTTAATGCTTGATGTGGGATCTTGGCCATCCATTTCTTATAGTCCATTGATGGGCTTTAGGTAAATCTACTATGTGTCCATTTTAGTGAGATTTTGTTGGTTATTCTAAGCTGATATTAAAAATTTCTTGAACTTTCTATCTCTTGTCTGAGAATGAAAGCCTGAAACTCAAAGAGGATCCTCTTCATATTTTTTTGACAAAAGACCAAGGTCCATAATAATAACAGGTATAATTAAGCATTGTATGCTATCCATTTGATGCACCCAAAGCTCTATATCTATGTTCCTTTCTTTCTTTTGTTTGTAGATTTTTGTTGTATAATAATGCTCCATTATATAGTTAATGTACAGGGTATATAGTACAGTCATTTTCATTTGGTTTTGTATGTTGATGATGCTTTGTTGCGTCTGTAAAAGGTATCAAACTTCTAGTTTCCCAGATATTTTTAAAATGGATTATGGATTGTGTGTTTCAGGCATTTAATGTCTTGCGTTATGAGATTGGGCAGAAGTATAATTCTCATTATGATTCTTTCAATCCTGCTGAATACGGGCCACAGAGGAGCCAAAGGGTACGAAGTAGATATTATCAGCTTTTCCTTTGTTCATTGCACGACAAATTCACAGATGTATACAATCATTGGGGGTTAGATGCAAGCATAAGCTACTGCATGTCATTTCCAGTGGTTGTTCTCAAATGCAATTTAATATCAATTCTGATAGTAACAGTGTTAAAAGTTGATTGTGTGGAATGCATGTTGCTAAATTCAGGTAGCTTCCTTCTTGTTGTACTTGACTGATGTTGAAGAAGGTGGAGAAACCATGTTTCCATTTCAGGTAAGACCATAATACCACATGAACGATGCGGCCTTTTTCTTGACATTTTCTTACATCCAGTCATTTTCTGAGTATGATTTCAATAAGAACATTTATTCTGTTTGGTTGGCAGAACGGCTTAAATATGGATGGAACCTATATGTACCAAAGATGTATTGGTTTGAAAGTGAAGCCACGCCAAGGTGATGGACTTCTGTTTTATTCTGTTTTCCCAAATGGTACTATCGATCCGGTTAGTGTTCCTACTCCTATCCTCTGTTGCTTGGACATGGTGGTTTTTAATTGAATGCTCTATGGATTATTAATGTGTAATGTTGAAAAATGAGCTAACGAGGAGGAGCGTGCATGCTTTGTTCAAGCATGGAACTTCTTGATTTGCAAGTAGGAGCCTAGTTTTGCCATGAAAAAAAGTGAACATGGTTGCAACAAAGAACAGTAACCTTTTCAAAACTACGAACTGATATCATACGGTACTCACTGTATAGACAACCAATTCTTAAGAAATTACAATTTCGCCACTGCTAATATCCCAATAACATTTCAAATGATTTATTATTAGTAATAGTTAAACTTTTGGTGCTCCCCCTGGTGACACATTCAGGAGATGTTGCAACTCATCTTATGTAGGAAATACAGAAATATTAATTCTTTAAAATATAAGCAATAGATGTTTTTATTTTATCATTAAAACTACGAGTCTTTGAATTTGTAATGGCTAAGAAGTGAATAATTGTTTTTTTTTCCTCATTAAACTGCAAATATTTGAATTTATGTTGACCAAGAAATGAATAAATACGTAAAAACCTTTTGAAACTATGAACTCCATCTGACCAAATCCAGTGAAATAGTGTTGGAAGATGATAAAAGATGCGGTGTATTTTGTTGGGAACATATTCTATATCATAATATGACCTTGCCACGTTAGATGCAGTAGTAGTTCATGTTTGAAGTGGTAGTTACTTTAAATCTTTATATCATGCATATCGTTGTATTTGAAAGCATGAAGGTGTTTAATGTGCCAGCAATTCTTTTCAAAAACATTTTCTGTGGGCAATTTATTGTTTGCGTTGTTTCCATCTTTGTGCTTCGAGTTATTTCTTGCTTTGTAATTCAGAAGCATTATGTACTTTTTCAGGGATGATGATTAATATTACATTAAATGGTGCTACTTTGTTCAGCGTTTTCCTGTTCCTAAAAACGATGCTTTTCTGAGTATCTCATTTATTGGATGCTTTTGTAGACATCACTTCATGGAAGCTGTCCTGTGATCAAAGGGCAGAAATGGGTGGCTACGAAATGGATCAGAGATCAGATAGAGGACGATTGAACGTTATTATTTACTACACACGATGCATACTTCGTAAATCTCGACCTCATTGTTTACTTTGATAAAAATGAGTTTTAACATTATAAACATTTGATCCTTCCCTCCCCTGTCCTCGACCAAACAGCATAAAAGGTCTGTCCTTCGATCCTTGTGTGTTTTTTTCCTTCTTTTGTTTTAAATTGTTTCAATTTAGTTTATGTTTTATTTTTTTTCTAATTTAATCCTTCATTGTACGTAAATATTAATATTGGTTGATGATAAACTTGCACCACCGGCGGAAATTTGGGTGGAAAATGACAACTAAGAATAAAGTTTTTAGTTCCTCTAGGCCTCAAAAGAAGAAACTTAGTATTTGTCATGCAAATTTGCCATCAACTTATTATAATATTTGCTAACGAGGAGAATTGAATTGAAAATCTTGAAACATAAGAGGTTGAATCGAAAATGTTTAAACTAGACTTAATTGAAAAGTACTCAAATATTGTGAACTAAGATAAATATTTAGCATAAAATAAAACCAAGGAAATGCTCAATCTAGTAAATCAAAAAATGTGAACTCCATTGAATGGATTAAATAATTATTGATTGATTTCTCATTTACTTCCTGTTTTCTTTCTTCTCTTTATATGCATAAAGAGATAAGTTACAGTCACATTTACCAAAACTTTATCAATATAAAATCATTTGTTATTGACTAGCCAAGCAAAGTTAAGTACAAGGGTCCAACGAAAAAGGCACAAAACCTAATATGGTTTGCTACCTGATTCAAGTTTGCAAAGGTAATAAAAACCATGTTCCAAAATCGCCAGCGTGAGCATGGGCCTCTTAACCATTTAATTGCCCTTGGATACTAGAGAAAAGAAAAAAAAAAAAAAAGCATTCATTCTTGAGGTTTGCATCCTACCTGGAACGTTTAAAGGTTCGCCTTTGGCAGCTACATGGCCCCATCAACATTGAAATTTGGGTGAAATTGTCCAGTCCTTGTCTCGTCAGCAGGAATTAGCCGCATTGCCCAGAAACAGGGAAATGGGATGACAATGGGTTTGTTGAGCTTGAATATATTCGATGAGTAAAAAGAAAATTGGCACCCTATAACTTGGTCTTCCAAGCTTGAGTACTAAGATGGTAAGCGGCACTCCTAAATAGATGCCTACCATCTTCAAACCAAAGCTTGAAATTTGGGAACTGTTTACTGCTTTTGCCAATTCTGATATGGATGCTTTCCCCAACGCTTCAATGCATACATGCTACCGGCCGATGAGAACAGACTAAGGGCAGCAAATGCTATTATCACTGAATTTTCGATATGCCTGTAATAGCCATCCTACAGAAATAACTTAAGTCATCAATGAAATTTCTAATAAAAAAAGAAGAGGACTTGGTCAACCTTAAAAACTCGTGTTTATGGTACCAAAAATCAACCTAACAACATGTAATCTGGTTTCCCGTAGATATTTGTTCTTATCCTCGAGCTTAATATACGCAGTATTTGAAGATCAGGACATCAACAGTCTTGGATTTAAAAAAAACATACAAAGGAAATTTTGAAATCGTAAAATCTCCCTTTCATCTTCAATCTCAAATCCTATGAATTTCTTCACCAACTTCACTTACGGTAAGAAGAAAAACGAAAACCCTTGCCAATGTTTTCCTTGGGTTTTCCTTGGGTTTCCCAAATTTTCATGGGACCCCCTTCATGGTAAACAAATCAGATTTAAACACAGGACGATTCTGAGCAGTTTTTTACCATTTGGTTGTATTAGTTAGATTCAGACCCACCTATGATCCAGAACTAACCACTTGCGAAACATGCCTATTTCTTTTATACGATTCAGATTGCATGAGTGATGAAGTTAAGGCATTCTTCATTTAAAATAAACGCATCCTTTTCCACCCAAATAAGCTGGCTGCTATTGAATGATGGATGCACATATCAGCACCCACAAATGCCAATGCGTGTTCCACCATTCTTAAGAGTTCAATTGAAGGTAGAATTACATACCTGCAACAGAAAAAACAGAATCGCCGCATTTGCAGGGGCCAGAGATAGGCTAATCATCCCTCCACGTAACTTACTTGGCACATACCTAATAGAAAAATAACGAGAGAAAAAAAGCATTGTGCAATCAAAACCTAATGTAGCCAAATTTAGGCTTTTGCAGATGCTATCATAATAATAAGTAAAGCACTTACATGGTCCTTAATCTTGCAAGTGAAGGTAAAATTAAACCTACACAGCCATGAAATAAGGAAAATAGCATCACTAAAACTCCAAGCTCCTGCATATTATAGATAAATAGATCAAGCAGTAGAACATGAAACTACTTATTCCTCGAAATTTCTCAAAAAGCCTAAAAGCATGAGTCATATGTAACCTACCTGATAATCAAAAGCCACAATTGACATCACAAGCCCTGATACAACGAAGCCATATAGTAAACAATCTTCAGTCCGAAAGGATGATGTTCTACCCATAAGCCATGGAAACAATGAGCTCCCAAGGATTCTGGATCCCAGCAAACATGGATATACCAACCCTAAATGCACTTCCCTCCCATCAGCCTAGATCAGAAATAATAAAATAACTCAAAAGTTCTAAAATTATGAATGCCTGTTAACTAAATCCAACAACAAAATCATAAACAAATTGACACTCATAAAAAGTTATTAGTACAGTGATTTTGTTGATGATTTAAAATAAGAACATCAAAATTGGAGAAGGCAAGAGAAAGAGTTCTCTGTGGAATACAATCTGTTTTTGTCTTTATGTAACCAAAGTAGCATACAATTTCAAATATTATAAATCCTTTAACAAAATAACTTCAATACTTAAATGTTCCTATAATTACAATTCTCAAACATTTAAAACTTAAAGATATACCACTAATGTTGGAGCCCAAAGAATCCAAAAGAATGCAACAGAGAAGTGAATAGAAGCTTGTGCCCATGCCAATAACCATATCCTTTTATCTGCAAATTATGAAAGTTTATGAAGTCTGAGAAACTCTACAAGGGCTTATCCAAGAAATCCCTGAAAATGATTCGAAAGTATTTGATGGTTACTGGTAGGACAGGGTTCAGCAAAATTATTATATTCAAATATAACAGATGTTAATGTGTGAACAGAGCAAAAATATTATATATTAAATGAAGTGGCAAAAATGGACTTGCCTGAAAATTATACCCAGTCAAACAAAACCTAAGACAAGATGTAAATACAAGGAACATACGGTGCTTACCACTAAAAATATATGCACTGAAAGAAGTTCTATAGTCCTCTAGTTCTATTCTTTGTGATACTTCTGTCCACCTTTTGATGATAAAAGTTGCACATATCAAAGCCAAGAAAACAGCAACAGTGGAAGGAGAAAACATATTCCTCTTAACAGTATCACCAACCAGGCTATTCAGAAGCATCTGGTTTCCAATCAATGAGACAGACTCAAATATAGTCATTAGCCAAAATGTGTCACTTAACATATCTTGCCTGTGACCTTGCTGCAAGGGGAGAAAATTATATGAGGGACTAAGTTTAAATTAGTGCTTTCTTTCATACGACACTCATGAGGTACTGCAGGAACTCAATTATGAATCAACAAGACCAACCATTCAACCAAGTAAAAACAAATACTTAAACAATCGGGGCATAAGTTGAGATCAATAGAATAGAAAAATGAAAAAATAAAAAAACTTATTAAACAGAGTCAGTTGAATCAATTTAATTAAAAAGAAGTTGGTTCATGTTATTTCTATAATCTTTAACTTGAAGTAAAAAATGTACAATCAAAGTCCACTGATTTCACACTCGAGGGTCTTCAACTTCCTTGAACAAGTCTGACAATAATGTAAATTTATGTGGCCTACTAAGATAACAACCTAAACAAATCCAAGTGGAAAACCATGTTAACAAACCTTTTCATGTTGAAGTACCATCCATGTTTCAAAACTGAATGAAAATATTGAGGTAGCAAGAGATAAACCAATACTGGCGACAAAGAGACTTGGATGCACAGAAATCCTCTTCCATATGGCAGTAACAAGGTGTATAATGCAAAACATCACACAAACTTCCTTTTGACCTCTACAAATAATAATAAAATCATTTATTAGAAGAACAGCATACATATGGACGTAGTTATAAATAAATTCTTAGTAATAAAATCAGAAAGGGAGCATTGGAGAAGATATTCTTCTCTTCAGTAAAAGCATAAGAATCAAAATTACAACCTAAAAAGTGACGGGAAAACAACGTTGAAAATTTTAGACTGCAGTCGCCTTTTCTTTATATTTCTTCCAAAACGTGCACTGTCCTATCCAAATGTTCATAACATTATGCGATATCACTATTTCCTTCACCACAAACATCTAAGCTCAACATAAGAATATTGTGTAAATAAATTTCTCTGATACATTGCGATTACCAGAATAAATCTATGTTTAATTAGAAAAAGAATACAGCACCACAAATAAATTTCCTGTGCATTTTGGCATATAGACGAAGATATCATACTGGCGTTTCAGAAATAGAACGTAATCGAGTAAGGAAGCGAACTACAATTACATCAAATCCGATAGAACGCCCAAAAAGGTCCCAACGAAGAGAGAAGCTGCATATCCAACGCATAGAGACGACACTATCTCCTCTCTGTTTACTCCACGATACGTCAACTCAAATTCGCCATATACTGACCATAAGCCTTCCATTACTGTATTAGTAAAGAGGATAAATCAGGTACCGAATAGCAATATCCACGCGCCTCAACTGAAGGGAAATTTTACGTTTACTCAACTCGGTGAACAAGAAATGTCAATGAAGGAAGGGAAAATAGTCTAGGAAAAGAGATAAATTAAAAGGAGAAGATCGCCGCCCGAGAGAGACTTGTTAGGTGATTTCCATTTCAAAATGACCAGATTCTTGTAAATTTTCTTCACAAAAAAAAAAAAAAAAAAAAAAAAAAAAAAAAAAAAAAAAAAAAAAAAAAAAAAAAAAAAAAAAGAGAGAGAGAGAAAAAAAAAAACAGTGTGCAGAGAGTGATGCACGGAACTTACCAGAGGCAAGAGAATAAAGTAGCAGGAACTTCCACTGGAAACTAGAAAAGGAGGATGAAAATCCCTGATCGAACGGAGCAGGAGCTCTGGTGGAACCATTTTTGGAAGCATAAGGTAGAAGAAAGATCGAAAAAAAACAAGAGAGGAAGATGAAGACGAACAAATATGGATTTGGTTCCCAAACTGAATTTTCGATGATCACCGCCATTTGTCTCACAGTTAAACTCTCAGAGAAGCCCTATCTGTAGCCAGCCATTTCTTAGAAAAAATAATCCGAGCTCGTAATGGGAGGAGGCACGGTAGGAACGACGAGCATTGCTCATTCTTCTATTCCACCGCTTAGAAATGGAACGGAGGGAAAAAGGAGTAAACATATATATACTCTCGTGAATATATTTATATATAACATTACAAGTAGATTTTATAAGAAAAAAGAAAAAAAAAAGAGATTTATTTTATGAATATTATATACTCCACTTGGTAATCATTTAAGAAAGGATAATGAGAGCTTATGCAAACAATATCATAGTATTCATCTAACATGGTATCATAGTTGGGTCCTAAATTTAACCATGTTAATAAAATTCTCAAATGTGCCTACTTTGTTCCAGAGAGGTTTTGTTCGAGGGAAGGTATTGGATAAAAGTCTCATATAGTCTAATTTAAGGAATGATCATAGATGCTTAAATTAGACAATATCATAACATAGTGGAGAGTTTGTATTCATCCAACACTATACAACTTCTTTACAAATTCATTTATTTTCACATATCAATCCAAGCTTATGTTTTGAATCTACATCTTCATACCCTTGGAAAAATAACTTCAAATTGCTATTTACAAGAACGCTAGGATTGTCATGGAAAAAAATTAAATTATGTTATAGGTTCTCTAAAATGCAAACCATATGAAATGGGGTAAATGGCCAAGCAAGAACCAGACAAAGCCAAAGCATAGGACGACTATACAAACTGAGTTTTGACACCACAGGGCTTCCTCATCACCGAGTTTTCATCCTCTTGCAGTTGAAACAAGGCTTTACTTGTTCAGATTTCCTGCAGCTGCAAACCAAAAGCAATCCACATTTCAACCTCATAAGAAGCCGAGTTTGAAGTGGCAAATCATTAAGAAGCCCAGAGCTCGCAGTAGAGCCAAGTACTTACAGGAGGAGCTTTGGACGTCCAGCCAGGAATGTTTTCAGAAACAAGGTTGATATAGCTCTCCATAGCCACCTCAGGGGTCATGTTCCCCAGCTGCTTCCAAGCGTTCCTTGAATCCAATTTAGCAAAGCGAACAAAAGTCTTAGAACTCAAGATTAACAAATAGAAACCATTCATTAAATCAGTACTACTGTATTCAAAATGGAAGCTCATATGCTATAAGAACTAAATATTTTCAATTTATTCTTAAAGCAGTTAAGTTTTGATCTTCTATTCATGAATTGCTGGCTTTGAAACAAACAACTCAACAACAGTGAAGTCAATAATTCATCCAAATTCCCGACCATTCTTACTATCATCGGTATATGCAAATGAAAATTGCTGGTCTTTAATTATAACATGAAATGTCAAATTCTTCGAACATGACAATTATTTTGAAGGATGTGTTTTCTACTACTGGCTACTTCTCCATGATGCAACTTTTAGAGAGAATAGAATCCTGTAGTTGCAATGTGCATTGTAGTAAATACGATCTTTTAGTCTACAGTTTCAAGAACATTTGATACATTCTTGACAGCGAAAAATTCCCAAAAAATTGTAACGATAATGGAATTGCAGGAAGATCATGACAGCCGAATGAACAATAAGAAACACAAAATCGAAGAAAATAAGAGAAGTTTACCATACCATTTGGATCGAGCTGAGATCTTCAAAGCCAATGGCGGTGGTTCTCTACAAGAGCCCTCCATAGCAATCTTGTGAAGTCCACTCAGCCTCATCTTCAATTCATCGCCAAAATTAGGATCCTCGGTATCATGAATCTTCACGAACTTCACTACGGCTTCAAATTCCTTCTCCAATTCAGTTCTATCAATTCCCACCCAATCGTCATCCTCGACGGAAATCACCTCCGCCGATCCTTCCTTGTTTACTCCACCGGATTTCTTGCTCCGATCTCTCTCTAACTCCTCGACTTCAACGCCGTCGCGAGCGTTCTCCTCATCCCGATAGGTTCTTTCTTCACCACTGGCCCTATCAGCACTTTCATCGATCACCTTCTCCGCAACCTCTCCGCCACCATTATCGGAATCACTCTCTTCTCCTTCCACAACCCTCACAGAGTCAGTCACCGCATCATCGCATTTACTCCCAGCTTCACCTCTCGATTCAAATATTCCGGTGGAATTCCCCTGTTTCAATTCACATTTACTTATCTCATCGCCACCGACAAAATCCTCAACAACGACGCTAGGTTTATGACTTTTCAGATTATGGATTCGCGATCCAAACCCGAAGTCAAATCCAAACGGAGACAATTCTTCACCGGCTGAATCCCTGGAAAGAAACTTACTGACAATAAAAGAAATAAGAAGAGGAAGACTAATGGTTAGCACAAGTTCAAGAAAAAGCTCCATGGCTCAACAGAAAGAGGTGGAGGAATCCGGTAGACGAACGGCGGAATCAGCAGCGATCGTGGGAAAGAGATTAGACAGATAGAAAGTAATGAAGATCAAGATAAGAGATAGGAGAAAAGGAATGGAATTTTGGAGGGACAGAGCAAAGTATATTCGAGTCCGCACCAGCATCGGGCGCACCTAGTAGCAGTCGGGCCCATGATGCTGTCGATCGTTTCAAAAGCAAGGCGTTGTAATGGAGCCCTTTCACCAACCGGGAGCGACGATCAGGCCGCTGCTGTTTACTGACGCCACTTTGTAATCATTGCCGAAACCACGAGCTCACGATCGTGCATGAATTTTAAATTCGGCGCTCCAAAATAAATAATTCATTTCGAATTCGATAATTAATACTGCTGTTTTTTTTTTTTTTTTTTCTAACAAAATAAAAAGGTTTAAATTTTTAATATAATATATATAAATTTAAAGTTAAAATGATTAGAATATTAAATTTATGGATTAAATAGATGCAAATTACGTTTTAAAATTAAATTTGTAATTTAATTGGGTGACGTTTATCCGGGTGATTTGATCAATATGCACGTGACAGCTACAGCTATAAGATGAACGCACCACATTATATTTGCGCCTTCCGTGTTTCGACCCCTTCCAAACCAAGACGCTATCTTCCACGAATTAGGGCTACTCGTAAAGATGGGAGGGGGGAACGGGCAGAAAGCGAAGATGGCTCGCGAGAAGAACATGGAGAAGCTGAAAGCTTCAAAGGGCGAGTTTTCTCTATAACTCTTCGCCTTTATTTCTTTTTCGGATTACTTTTACTGGTTTCGGATTACTTTTACTGGTTTCTGAGTGAATTTCTTGAACTCTGTATATTTTGTTCTTGATATTTATTAAGTGGCGGCTCTGTTAGGGTGTGAAATCACTTAAATTGATTATCGTGCGAGAGAGAGAGCTATTGAGTTGATTTTATTAATCGGTTATTCGGGTTAAATTTGAAGATTTTGTTTGGTCTGTTGTTATCAGGAAGTCAGCTCGAATCGAACAAGAAAGCAATGTCTATTCAGGTATGTTTTGACAATGTTTGATGCTAATTTGTATGAAGATAGTTGAATTAGTTCTTATATTGATGCTAATTTATATGCCCATGTCGTCTTTTGTTTGTGTTTATAGGAATTGTTTCTTTTTTCTTCCGCTTGTACCATTAGTTTCTTGCTTATTCTGTACAGTTCGATGTTTCAGAATTGTTTTTTTCTTTTTCTTTTGAGCCACATTTGCACATTCAATAGAAGTGTTTCTTCGATTCGATGGTCAGGGTACCTTGTATGTGATTGGAAGGATGGTGTCCAATTATTAAGTAAATCTTTCAGTTCTCTTCATCAACTTATCATCAGTGTTGTAGACTATGAATTTTGTATCTGTAAAGCCTGCGATTTTCTGAGCCCTATGTTATTCTTGCACGTAGAGAATTCAAAAGAATGTTATAGGCAGTGGGTGCTACTGTTTTATGACATTTACTCTTGATTTGTTCTTTATTAAGAACATTTACTCTGATTTGGTTCTTTGGTAAGAACATTTCCTATGAAACTGATTGCAGTGCAAGGTATGCATGCAAACCTTTATCTGCACCACATCAGAGGTCAAATGCAGGGAACATGCGGAGGCAAAGCACCCAAAAGCTGATGTCTATACTTGTTTCCCACATCTTAAAAAATGAAAGAATAAACAAGAAAGAACAGTGTGGAGGAGGCACGTTCCAGTAGCAACCTCCTTGCCCATGTTTACCTGTGATTTCTGGACTGTTTGCGTGCCAATTTAGTATGTATTTTGTTTATGGTCTTGCTCATGTATCAGAAAATCGGCTTTGGATTAATATATTAATGGTATGTTTTCCATGGTCTTATTGAACTGGCGTATTCTACTAACTGATTCTAAGATGGTTTTCTTTCGATTCTCTATCGAATTTTCGTGTTGGTTCTGGTGTACTTCGAATTTTCTGTGATTTCTGGAGAAATAAGAAAAAATGAATTCAACCAATGGTGAGTACTATTTGAGATTTAACATCTGTTTTCATGTCTAGTAAATATAGTATGGTTGCATTATATGCTAAATCATTTTTTTTTATCAGTTTAAAGGGCATCAATTCTATTGAAACTTCCGTTATTTAAACTTACAACGTGACCTTAAATTAATGATTTTGAAGGAACAGATAATGAAGAATCAGGCAATAGTACAAGCACACATGCCTTGAGAATTTGCACACAATATATAGTTTCTCCAAAACAAGGATAAGCTCGAAGCTCGATCGATGGTTCATTAAAAATCTGCGACGTTAAAAATAATATGTCCTTTTTTAGCTTTGGTTTCTTTAACTACAATACAGGGAGCTCATATTTCTTTGGTAAAACTAATACTTAAACATAAATCCATAGTCCATATCACACTTTAGTTTATGCTGATGCTCAGCTTAATCCAATTACTACTGTGTTCGCATCCTGCTACTCTCTGCAGCCCTCACTTGGGAGAAATATGGATGTGCCTGCAACAGAAAAACAGGCCAGCAAACTATTAACATCAACGAAAATACTACTGTAGTTAATCAAATATCAAGCCTCAAGTCTACAAGCCAAGTGAACTATTTATGTAATGAAATATAAGTAGACAATATTAGTAGTCCTCAAATCCATGGAGTTACTACGGCTGTATCAAAAGGGTAAAAAAAATGCAAAGACATGTAGATATCATTCTTGATCGAATCTAGAAAAGGATCCACATACGAATATGTATA